TATCAATGATAACCTTTTTCCTTTAATAAAACCGCCAAGTTTAAAACCTTCATCACTCATACCCCTTTGCCTAACAAAGTTATATTGCCAATAGGTTTACAAAACACTTTCTTATAAGAAGTTATTATTTTACCCTTAAAGCCAAAATTAATATTTTACCCATCTAACATTAACACAACATATAAAATGGAGTTAAGGTAAAAGGATATTAATGATACATTTTCCAACTTTTAGGGTCTGTTTAAACTGTGCAAAAGTTATTAATCAAATGTAACTTCAAAACTTTATGGTCCTTATGAATAGTCTTGATACTCTCCCAAAACCCCTAAAGGATGATTAAATAACAAAAATCCTTCAAAAATTTCTAGAACAACAAAATTTCTCCTACTGTTAAGTTTTAGTTGTTAAAAAAAAGGGTAAGAGGGTATGTTAGTTAATATACTTTATTCATAATAATGTAAACTCTAATGCTCACTAACTGTTGGGAATTTTTTTTTTATCCAAAGAAACCTCAAAAGAAGGCTTCTATTAAGTAAGAGTAATACTAGTTCCACAACTCAATCTCACAATTCTCAACATAACAGCTCGTAATTGGTAAGTTCGCAAATGGGTTCCAGGTGCTTGCTATAGGTCTTGTTTGCCCATTTACGAGTTGTCATGTCGAGGATTGTGAGATTGAGTTGCGAACCTAATATTACTAATTAAGTAATATCTTGGGAGGGTCAATTAATTCTTCTTTTCCACACAAAAACATGATGGCTAATTCCCTAATCCCCACTAAGCTTATAAATTTTAAGCGCCTCTATACTTTTGAAAATATTGCTGACAACTCCTCTGTTAAATTACTAGTTATTTACTTAAATTATATGAATTTTAAGTGAAATAATAATGTTATATTTATTAAACTAAATAAGGGTATTCTTTAGATTTTTGAGAAATGAGGTGTTTAGAATAATTGGGCTGTATGCCTGTATGTAATCAAGAGATTATGTAATTTTTTGTTTTTATTTCATGGATTTATTTTGCAAAATTTATAACCTTTACCTCTAGGATTTAATTTATGGGCCGACATACATTTTCCCACCCTACGTTTAGTGAAACTTGGAGTGGGAAATAAATTCGCCAAACCTAGTGTGGAAATATGTAATTCAGCCTTATTTATGTTTTTCAAACTTCATCAAGGGATTTAATTGAAATATTTACAAACCTTTGGGGCGTGACAATATTTATCATACTGTCCTATATTACCAAACGCACATCTTACCCCTTGTCACTAAACCCTACACCCACGAAGGGCACTGAACTTCCAACGAAAGCTTCAATCTTTCTTCTCAGTTAACGCTAAACCCAACAAATAAACTCCAAGGTCAGATACTGCATATTCATTTTCATCCAGCTTAATTTCTCCTTTTGTTGCTTTTTATGTATATTTGGTCACAGTAGTTATGACCCATTTGCAGAAACTTGGAACAACATCTATTCTCAAATGGGTTTCTATAACTTTAGTTGAAAACTTCATTTCCGTATCAAAGACACCATTTTGGCCATCTGGGTCTGTTTACATTGCTCAAAACTCTGGACTTTATGGAACAAAAAGAGGGGTTGTGAATGCAAATATTGAACATAAAGTTAGAATTTCAGCAGTTAGTAGGACTTTGGTAGTGATTCTTAGGCTTTTAAGCTTATTTAGCGAGATGGGTTTGAGTGAGGAGCAGTTAGGTACATTAATCCAGCAACATCCAGGACTACTCTTGGAGGGTTCGGGGGACAGAGCACTTACTTTGATAGGGCTTTTATTAAAATTTGGATCTACTCTGGATGAAGTTTTTTTGACGTTTCTGCAGTTCCCACAAATTCCAGTGGGAAGCTTTTTCACAAATTTGAAGGAATGCTTTAAGTTCTTTTTCAAGATTGACATGGAGATGGATGAGATTGGTAAGATTTTCTGATCTCATTCCTGTTGGAGTTGTCGACTACTTCAGCATTAATGGGTAACGGAGACGCACTCGGGGGTCCCACTGCCCGATCAGCGGACGGGTGCCCCGCTCCCCGGTGAGCGGGCGGGGTCGCAGGGGCAGCGCCCCCGAGCCCGTAGGCGGTTTTGGGCTTTTCCATGTATAACCGCTGTAGGATTCCTTTTAAGTTATTAATTCCTTTTTGGGTTGGGCTTAGGAATAGGAATTCTTGTAAAACTAGGTTTAATCTCTTAAACCTAGTATATAAACATTCTTTTCTCTTGTTATGAGTGTGAGAGCAATTCATTCATTGTAAACGAGAGAGGCGAGGCATATTTCAATAATATTGACTTAGCTGGACGTAGCTCACATTGGGTGAACCAGGGTAAATCGCGCGTATAATTTCTTTGTTTACTGTTTGTTTTGTTTTACTATTATTATTTTGTTCCTGTTGCTTCTCTATTTCGTTCAATTCCATGTTGCTGGGTACATGTACTTTAAAGAAAACTAGTAGCATTTTTCCCTTCTTGAATGTTGGGGAGACGCAACTTTGTGAATACATCCAGGGGAATCCCAACACTCTGAAAAATCTAGTTAGAGGTTCAAAAGTTGAATGATTACTGAGTGCAAGAGGGAGAGAGATGTCTAATGTTGAAGGCTAAGTTCTTGGAGGACGTGGGATCTGGATTAATACAGAATCAAGTGAAATGGAAAGAACAGTCGAGGCTATGCGAGGCAGAGGAGAGGAGCTTCAGCAGAGATTTGATTGTATTGTGAATGCTGGCTTAGATCGAAAGGATGCTTCTGAAATGATTAGTGTCCCCTCGTATTCTTAGCCATAAAAAGAAGGTCATTGAAGCAAAAATCGATTTTCTTTTGCATGATTTGGGTTATCCCATATCATGTTTATTGTCATTCCCATCATATCTAAACTATGCAATGCAGAGGATCAAGCTTAGGCTTTTGATGTATAATTGGCTTACAGAACAAGGAAAGGTGGAATCTATGTTTTCTTTGAAAATTCTCATTGAACTCTCGAATAACAGATTCATGGAGCGATATGTAAATCAGCATCCGGAAGGCCCTCGGGTTTGGCAGGAGTTGAAGAAACAAATTTATTCTGAGCAGTAGAAGTATGTTCTTGTAGTTTGTACTTCCTTGGGTGCTGCCATTCAATGATCCAAGTCATTGCTAGCAAGATTCATGATTTTGTTGCTCTACGAGCTGAGAGATTCATCAAACTGTTATTGTCCGCGCACGGATGCTAAAGCTGACTTCCTGTAAGTAGCCTGAGTGAAACTGTGAGAAACGGATCAGCACTTGAATTATTACTAAGGATTTAAGAATAGTTCATCAATAGAGGTGTCAATTGAGCGGCTCCGCTCTGCTTGGCTGCAGTGTCGAGCCAAGTTCGAGCTCATCAGATTTCGGCTCAAAAAGCCGAATGGAAAAGTGGCAAAGTGGAGAATTGGAGAGTTTTTTTTTTTTTTTTGTGAGCTTGAGCTCGAACTCGAATTTTCAACGTCGAGCTGGAGCTCAACATTATAGCAAACGAGCAAAGCTCGATTAGCCCAAAGCTCGGTTCAACTCCTTTACACCCCTACATCAATCTAACAGCAGTATTCATGCTTGTACGTTCTCTTAACTGTTATTTAAGATAGGAATTACAGAGTTCAATAGATGACCACATTTCTTCTCTTTTTCTTGTTATTATGACGCCCTGAATTTGCTTCCACGTCTCACAAACAGGTCGATTAACTTGTCTCATCGCCTCTTATGAAACTTTCCAATTTGATTTTGTTATGTGATTCAGTACTAACAGTTCATTCCCATGAAGAATAGATATGATTTTGCTTAAGGGCCATCGTCCCTCGACATTTCTGGGTTGTAAGCCTTGACAGACATTGCATCGATTACTAATATGAACTAGATGAGCCTTCATTTGCAGCAGGTACAAGCTATTTTAAACATAAACTCTTAAATTATGTTGATACATTATATTTACCGATGGATATAAAAAAAAAAAAAAACATATTTTCTAATGTATCGAATATTAATCGCCATGTTTGGCTTATTATTTTATCCCTATTCTCAATCCTATTCTCCAAATAATGTTTGGCACATTATTCTAGAAATATTACCCTATTTTTTTAATTACTTTTAAACCCCATAAGGTTATTAATTTCATCAAATACACCCTAAAAATAAAATTTAAAAATTATCAAAAACACCCCCCACCCATACTTGCCAGATTCGATAACCACCGTCGGTAGTAGCCGGAATCTGTACAACGGCCTACCTGTTGATCATAAATGGTCGGAAGTTCACCGATCTGACCTTTTCTGGCCAGATCCACCACGTGACCCAAGGTGAATGAACAGGTTGCCATAAAACAAGTATTATTTTGAATTTCCAGGTGCAACAACATAATTGGGATCCTGTATAAAAAGAGAAACAGGAAATGTAATCAATCTTTCAGTTAAGAAAACTAACAACAGCAGTAATACAAACATAAAAATATCCTTTTGAAACTTACTGCATCCACCAGATTGCATTGTGAGATTTGTGCGCAAACATGGGTTCCTATATACTTTATTTTGTACAAACTAATGTAACAACGTGCATGTTGGATTTATTTTATCATAGATGAGTTTGTATACGTAGTATTATATATAATGAAATACAGTTTTTATAAGTATTTATAATGAATAATGTTAGGCCTACAACTCAATCTCACAATCTTTTTTCATAATCCCTAACGTGATAACTCGTAATTGATCAACTTGTAAATGAGTTCCACTCGCTTGCTATGGGTCACGTTTGCCCATTTGCAAGCTAACCAATTACAAACTGTCACGTTGAAGGTTGTAAGATTGAATTGTGGACCTAACATTATTGATTTGTAATACTTTCTGAAAATCGTGGATAGCAATAGAATTAAGGAATCTTTTAGGGCATTTATGTAATTACACCAATATAAAATTTAAAAGTTTAATTTGGATTTTGAATATTTTGTGTTTGAGATCCTGAATCTATAAAGTTTAATGAATTCGTTTTGGTTTCTTACTGTCACTTGTTTTTCTGTTGATGCATTGATGCATCTATAATTACCCCAAATGCCGAATCTGTTGCTTTCAGCCGATTGTGGCAGGATTGCTTCTTTTGCTATGCCTTGTTAGAACTAGTTGTAGTTTGCCATCCAATCCCAGATGGTTGCCAGAGTCTTCTTGTTGCATCTCTTTGCCTCTTTAAATTTTGTTTTCGCAATAGCCAGAGTCCTTGATAGTTTGCTTCATAATTATGTCTTACTGTCTTTGAGACAGCATTATAACTCTTGATGCATGCATATGGGCACGCTGTCGGTTGTGTTTGGAACCAGCCAAAATTATACATTAAAAATTTTCATAGACGGAAGTGGCATGCTCGCAAAAGCCCAGATATGAAGAAACAAGGTACGTACTCCTCTCCGTAAGTTCGAATGTTCCCTTTTTGAGAGTATTAACCATTCACAAACTTTATTTTACCTTCTGGGTTCTTTTGATTATTCACTCAAAACTGTCAGAAATCTTGGTCTAGTGTCAATGTTTGATAATAGTATGTATTTTTTCTATTATTTTCTGTTTAGAATGGCTTAAAATTTTTACATTTAAGTAATTCTTTTGCAATTTGTTATTATTTTTTGGTTCAGAAAATTAATGGTAGAGAAAAGCGTGGTTTAGCACATGTTCGACGAAATGTCTCGAAGAAATTGAAATGCACCTACTGATTTGAAACACTAGTTTGTGTGGCAACTTGCCAGTGAAGTGGATCAAAATGAGTGTAGTATGGCCAAGGCTTTTAACACCTAATAACCTTTCTCAGATCATTAGGAAGCAGAAGAATCCACTAACAGCTCTTAGAATTTTCAATGAAGCCCTAGAGAGATACCCCAGTTATCAACACAATGGTCCAGTTTATGCTACAATGATTGGCATTCTTGCAAGTTCGAATCGAATCATGGAAATGAAAGAAGTTATTAATCAGATGAAAGAGGATTCTTGTGAGTGTAAGGATAAAGTTTTTGCCACTGCTATACAGACTTATGCAAGAGCTGGATTGTTGAATGAGGCTGTTTCGCTTTTTAAGAACCTTTCACAATTCAATTGTGTGAATTGGACTCTGTCTTTTAATACCCTTTTGAGGGTAATGGTGAAAGAGTCTAAGCTTGAAGATGTTCATCAAATATTCTTGGAGAGTTGTTACGGATGGGAAGTGAAGTCTCGAGTTCAGTCTCTGAATTTGCTAATGGATGTATTATGTCAACGTAAACGATCTGATCTTGCATTGCAAATTTTTCAGGAGATGGATTATCAGGGTTGTTATCCTGATAGGGAAAGTTATCGTATCTTAATGAAGGGTTTGTGTGATGATGAGAGACTTCATGAGGCACAGCACTTGTTGTATTCTATGTTTTGGAGAATCTCTCAGAAGGGTAGTGGTGAGGATATTGTGGTATATAGGATTCTCTTATTTGCTTTATGTGATAAAGGGAAAGTTCAAGAGGCAGTGGAGATTCTTGAAAAGATTTTAAGGAAGGGGCTTAAAGCTCCTAAGAGTTGTCGCCATCGTATTGATCTTAGTCCATGTAATACTGGTGAAGATATAGGAAGTACTAAATGTTTGATTAGTGAAGCTTTGATCAGAGGCAGCATTCCCAGTTTGGCTAGTTACAATGCAATGGCTATTGATCTATATAATGAAGGTAGGATTGATGAGGGTAATAAACTGCTTGACGAAATGCGAAGTAAAGGCTTTTGGCCATCACTGGTGATTTATCAGGCAAAATTGGCTGCTCTGTGTAAAGAAGGTATGGTTGATGAAGCGGTGAAGGTGGTTGAAGAGGAAATGGTGAAAGGAACTTTAGTGCCCACTGTTAAAGTGTATAATATCTTGTTGAAAGGCCTATGTGATGCAGGAAATTCAAAAGTTGCAGTTGGATATTTGAACAAGATGGCTAAACAGGTTGGCTGTGTTGCTAATGAGGAAACATATGGCATTTTAGTGGATGGGCTGTGTAGAGATGGTAGTTTTATTGAAGCGAGTAAGATTTTGGAGAAGATGCTGATTAAATCTTATTGGCCTTCTGTTCACACTTACAATGTGCTTATAAGAGGTCTTTGCTCAATAGGCAGGCAATATGAAGCAATGCTATGGTTGGAGGAGATGATCAGCCAGGGGAAGCTGCCAGAGCCTTCTGTTTGGAGCTGCTTGGTGGCATCTGTATGCTGCAATATGGCTGACATGAATATTTGCAATAAGCCCTTTGGGCAGCTAAGTGTTGGTGACGCAAATGCGGCTTCAGCTGAAACACCTTTTGTAGGATCAGCAAGTTCAAATCCTCAAGATTGAGCAAAAGCTTTTCATTTTTGAGGTGGATGGGAAATATATTGGGCAAGAATCAGATTAACTGAAAAAACAGATTTCATGATCTGGATTGTGCAGTGGCCAGAGGATAAATTTTGTACGCTATCTGTGAAAGATTCAAGTCGCACTTATTCAGAAAGTTCGAGGATCATCCCTGTCAGTGTGGTTAGATGAGCGAAGCACTCCTTAATTAGCGGCAATGAAGGACATCTTAAAAGGTGGGAGAAGCATCAGAGCCATGACTAGAGGCCAAATCAGCTGTAGAAGCCAGAAAAACAGATTTGGGATTGCTATTGAATTGCAATTGTACAATTCCAGGATGATAAAACAATATTCTTCAGTCATAATCTAAAAGAAGCAGAAAGGTTGGATTCTTTGGTTTTTTGTTGACCAAATGATAAAATTCTTGTACGGTAAGGCCCCCATATGTTTACACCAGAACAGAAACATGGTTACCTCTTAACTTGTGGGAAAAGGATACTGTGAAGAAAAAAGGAGAGTTCTGGTGGGTTAGGCTTAGGTAGACTAATTATGGGTGTCTTTCTTCTCCTGTGTGTGTTGAAGAAGATGGTAGAACGCTATATGTTAGGGTTGGTGTTATCTTGGAAGTCTGGTTTTGGAAGCAGCACAAGGGTTTCATGCCGATGTATTCTATACTCTCTTCTTCACTAGATTTTGTCTTATAGACTTGATTGATAAATGAATTCATAAGTTGCTACTGTTAGGATTAATTGCGAGAGTCCTCTATTTATATCTTAATTTACTAGCCTTCATGTTATATACTCTGTCATGATCCAAGTGATAAATGAATTCATAAATGAGTTTATTTTTTTGTTATACTAGCTGGAATGAAGTAAGAAAAAGAAAGAATGGAAAGAGAGACAGAATCAAAGAACAAAAATAAAGAAATATTGTAAATTTTCATCAATGGATACTATAATTTTATGAAAAATCTTGATTTTCGCAGTTACGATACAGTGTCTTTTCAGGTAAACGGCTTAGAGCCACGATCTTCTTGAGTCCTAGTACAGTATGAGACTGTTAAGTCATACTAAATTAGATGCTGATTCTGCATTGGAATTGGGATCAGAATGCTGCAAAATTTTCTCAATCTTCTTCACCACATAATTCATTTTTGGCCTGTCAACTCCTGATTCTTCAACACATTTTCATTGCCAGATCCACAAACTTTTCAAAACCTGTGAGTGTTGCATCCAACCCAATGGTTGAATCAAGAAATTCGTAAATGTTGACTAGATCTTTTTCCTTATCCATTGCTACCTTTATCTCTCTTGCAATATGATTTTCTCCTTGTATTGGTCCTCTTCCAATTAATAATTCCAACATTAGCACACCGAAGCTATAAACATCACTCTTTTCGTTCAATTTTTGCATCATGTAAATACTTAGTATCCAAATTGAGAGCTACTTTTGTTTTTGTCATTAAATGATTCATAACAATGGATACTGACATGTGCAATATTTCCCTCACGCAAATAGCCCAAATTAAATACTATGTCACACGATATAGCACTTGAACATATTGTACTCTTTCCTTAAATTTCTTTTTTCAGTAATTTTTCAGACAGTTTGTGATTAAACAAAGTAACACTATAATATCAATGAGCACCATTTACAATAATAATCAGAGGGTATTAGAGAGGATGGAGGCTCTGAACTTTGAAGACATGGTCGTTGAGAGAAGCCGAGTTAGATACAACCACGGCTGGTCATATTCAAGAAGTATCTCTAGCCTTCTCCATGGTTCTAAATCTGGCCTTCTACGCACGGTGTTGAACCATGTCGCTTTTAATTTCATTTGTATTGTATTTCAAGGAAAGGAACATGGTCTAATAATTGGCGATAAACTAATGTGAACCCTTATATGCACTGGAACTTACTACGTCATATATAAAGTAAGCTATTGAAGAATGATAAAATAGACTTCCTTCAAAGAATCTTTTGAAATATACTCATATATAAGTATCTGTTCATCTTGTTCCAAGCAAAATCCCAATATGACGTAGAACGTCTAGCGGATGAATTCATGGAGAAGACTGAACGTCAAAAGTCTATGTGTAAAGCCCAAAGGTTCTAAATGCAGCTGATCGTCAGAAGTCCATGCGTGAAGCTTAAAAGTTTTGAATGAGCATGTCTTATTCAAACGGCTATAACTTTTGATTCGAGAAGAGTTATAGGGCCCGTAAAATACTGTTGGAAAACTTATTTCGAGCCCGTCAACATGGGACTGATTTAGCTGGTCGAAGGTTGTTATCGAGGTCAAAACCCACCGTTTTGGCGTGTTTCGAGGCTGTTTTAGTGTTTTATGCGTTTTTTTCCTATTTTATTTCGGGTTTTCTTGTTTTAATTAATTTAGTTTTTGTTTCCTTTTGTTATTAGGAGTCTTATTAGGGTTGATTGTCACCCTATATAAACTTATTTTTTTTTTTGGATGTTGTTTAATAAATTATTCAGTTTTTACTTCCGGTTTAAGTTTCTAGATTGAGACTTGTGTTATCAGTTCTAAAGGTATAATCGTGTGCTAGTCTTGTTTATCATGCTAGCTCGCTGCGTCACAATAGGTGGACAACATTTTTATGATGGACTCTTGATAGAAGCTCAATCTCAGTTTTGAATTCTAGTGCACCTTGTAAACATCCTTGCTTAGCTCGTTTTATGGCAATCAGTTGTCCAGTGGGAAGAGTTCCCCCTATAAACCTGCAAAGATTGATGTTGACAGAATCAAAATTTTACAATGTATTGATGCCAATTTTAACTTCTGATATTTCAAACAACCAAACAAAAAATAATTGTTTGGTAATAAGACAGAATGGAACCTTTCCATAACCCCGGGATCCTATGCCGTTGTCTTCAGAAAAATTGTTTGTGTAGTTGCAAAGCTCCTGAAAAGAGAAGCATCTGGCTCCTTTCAGTTCAGGAATGCCACCATGGCTTTTGTTCAGGTCCTGGAGTTCTACATTTGTACAACATAATCAACAAAGTACAACCAGGAAAATCGGAAGTGTGGTGTAAATGTTTTTAAGTACCAACACATTTCGTTTGATTCACTCTTTCCACTCCTCTTCCAACGATATGCAAGAGACCCAGCAAGGACTAACAGTATCAAAAAGGCACAACCACCAGCTGTTGTTCCAATGATAATGCCATTGCTTCTTAACTTGTTTGATCCGGTATTGTTTGGTCCTTTTCCTCTGTTGTTTGGTCCTTTATTCTCTTTTCCTGTAGGTTCTCCTAAAAGATGTCACACACACAGATGCATCAAATATCAAATAAAGCAGAATTGTAATGATCATGTTACTTCTATTTGAATACCAGAAGTACCTGCAAAGTTCTGATACCGATCAGCAATAAAGACGTAAGGCCCAAAAAAGGATGGAGATTTGTAAGTCTGGCTGTTAAGTAGAGATCCAGTCGTAGAAATTCCTGTTCGATTGATTAGACTTCCCCTATGCACATTGGCAGGTGGGGCTGCAAATCTTATCTGAACCACAAGAAACAGGTGTACAGTTCTTTGGTGGTGTTGAACAATTGGAACTCAGTTGGAAAACTGTACAATCTTCTCTTCTCCCCAAGTCCTGCAAATTGGATTGCCTGCAAGCCTGTAAAATTATCGAGCACTTTGTTGTCTTAGCCACAACTTGTAGAACATCTTCATTAGGTAACCACTTGAGACATTTAAAATAACAGATGGAACAAACCAATCTCAGATAGATTGAAATACAGATGCAGATATGTTAAACTGTATTTTGACAAACCATAGGAGAAAATATTTTTGAAGTCTAAAGAAATTAAGCCTTACGTTAAGCCAATGCTGCTTGCGTCTGTTTTAACCATGGTTGTCAAATCGAGTATCGTATCGTATATCGAAAACCTAATTTTTTGAATCGTGTATCGCGTATCGTATCGTATCGTAGGATACTGTCTTTTTCAAAAAAAACTAATAAAATAATCAAAATTTAAAAAAAATTAATATAATTCCCAAGATTAATTAAAGAATTTTATGGTATTATAGGCTTTAAATTATGATATTACATAATCAAAATTAATCGTAAAATTAAAAATTTATATTATTTTCTCTCAACCATTCATATCATTTCCAAGATCAATAATATCTCCACTTATATTATTATTATCATGTAAAATGGATAACACGTATTCCCCTTCACTTACTCCATATAAAATAGGTAAATTTAGACAAGTTTTAGTGAATCGGGTTGGGTGACCCGGTTTCGACCCGAATTTTTCTTTGGGCCTTTGGCCCAAATTAATAAAGTCGTATCGATCCATATCGATATTTTTAAGGATACGAACGGATACGTATCGTATCGTAGGATACATATCAACGTATCGAAAGGTTTAGGATACACTCTCTGATATGTATCGTTGGCAACCTGTATCGAATCATATCATATGATACGTATTGGGTATCGTAGGATACTAACAACTATGGTTCTAACTGTGTAAATAGATATTAAATTGTTCTGCAAATTGATGAACTGCAGCTGGTTGCTGTGCCTGATGCCAATATTCAAGCTGCCATTAAGCTGGTTGTTTTCAAAACCCTGTAACCATATTGTGTCAATAAAATCAAGATCTATTGCCATCATATGGAGATGTCTTAGGGAACTCTTTTAACATTAGGAGCTGAGGAAATCAAATGAAATTTTCTGTACTGATGATGTGTTATGTTGATCCTCACACCAGTAATGCTAGTTCCAGAACCCAATCTCACAACCCCAAACGTGACAACTCTCAAATGGGTCCTGCCTACTTGCTATGGGTCCTGCCTACCTATTTGCGAGCTGATTAATTGTAAGTTGTCACGTCAGGAGTTGTGAGAAAAGGTTATGAGATTGAGTTGTAGACCTAGCATTACTCTACTCACACAATCTGTAGTTGAGAAAGACTAAACAAGTCAGAAGGAACTTGACCTTGAAGTTGAGTCTGCTACATCATTCTGTCAGATGAAATAGTTGATTATTCTCCTTAGAGTCTAACTAAAGGAAATATATGATAGAAAGACATTTTCTGAAGACTCAAAATGATATATATAGGAAGTTGGAAAGTCTTCTAGAGTAGTTTTTGAGCAAGACAATCGTATCGTGTTTGGTAAAAATTGAATTAGAAGACTTTACATCAACAAAATACTTCAGATAATTCAATGCGTTGTTGATTCGAGGTCTATATGTGTTGCATCATCTGTGCATTGAAACTATTGTTACTCATTGAACGAAATAGAGAATGTACAAAACCAAAATAACAGACAAACAAATCACAGATAGTAAAGAGAGAAAATAATACGTGTGATTTACTTTGGTTCACTCAATATAGACTACGTTTAGCTGAGTCAATATTATTGTAATACTTTCTCACCTTGCTTGTTTACAATGAATGAATTATCCTATGTTGCTATCATACTCAGTGGAACCTCCGAATACATCTGCGTAACTCATTAATATCGAAGTAGTCGAAAACTCCAACACTCCTGTCCCTACAGTTCATAATATCATATAAATAAGTTTTGGAAAAGCTTTACTGACCCTCATATCAGTGATGACTGAAGATATAGAGTTACTAAACATTTTCTACTCACAAGTTAGGTTCATGCCAGTAAGGTTGGGCATGGGACCAGTCAAATTATTGTTGGACAACAACCTGGAAAAAAGGGTTATCAAACACTCATTGTTATATATAAGAATATGATGACAATCCTAAGCCAAGCTTATCGTCCATGGATTATTTTCAGCTTACAGCTCAG